TGGGGGCAATATGCTGACTCTCTGTAAACCGCTTAGAGAGGCCTGAAAGGCCTATGAAGCGGTATATAAGTCCACTGCTATTGCTATTGCTATAGCAGAATACTAGAAAGTATGGCAAGCCAAAGATTCAAAAGAAAAGATGGCTGACACATTACCGCTTCTGCTGTGTTCTTCAGACTGTAATTATTTAACCGAGCTTTTGGATTGCTTCCTTCTGCTACACACCCAAAAATGCTGTACCAAAAAACCTTAAAACACAAAAACAAATACATAACTGTTCTTAGTTATACAGCTAAAATTCTGCATGTGTTTAAAAACTGTCTAAATTAATGGTTTCAGAGTCATAGCTCATGGGTGATATATGATCTTCCAGCTCATTTTATGTGGCTCTTACCTTATTCACACATAGATTGACAGAATTTGGGAAGTAGTTTAACAATTCCCGAGCAAACACTAAAGTGAACAATGGCTATGTGACTATAAGACAGGTTATGAGGTGGCTCCATCCATACTTTCACCCCTCAGAGATATTAAAATAGCTAGGTCTGGAAAATTCTTCATTTGCTACCATTGCAGATCTTCCATGCTCTCTGCTCAGGCAACAAACTGGCAGGACTTGGACTAATGGTGCAGCACACACCTGGGGAGCAGTTGCCCTTAGTCTCTCCTTGCCAGGTGCGGCACTTGTACATCTCACTCTTTCGAAGTGAGCTTGTTCAGATACTTAAGCTTAAATGTAAAGCTATGGCAATTAGAAATGATACCGATAACTGTCCAAAACCGCACATTCTTTTTAATCACATAATACAAATTGAACCACCAAAATGTTATTTTTATACTTTAATACTTTACAACTTCAATTAAAATATATTTCATTTTCCAAAAATTGCTGCACTTTCACAATATGTATATATGTATTTTTTAAAATCCTGTTGAAAGAACATTGAAAAATGATTATATTCTACCATCTAGTGGCACTTGGTTTACATTTTGTTTTGTTTTTTTTTT